TAGAGACTTTCTTCAGAGTTAGAGAGGAGTTTTCAAAAATAAGATCAACCAGGAGAAGATGAAGTTGGAGGTTTCTACATCCATGAAGTCTTCTTCCTTCTCTATGAGTGGTTAAATTCTTTCTAAGGGATTGATGTAACCTTAATGGTGAAGTCAATACTTTAGACTCTCTATCTCTCCAATTACTTAGTTTAAGTTAGATTTAAATAATTAGTTAAATTAAAATTTAAAACTTTTCTTTCGAATTAAATTAGAAATAATCCTAATATCTTAACAGCATAACTATCGCAGTTTTTTAGATTCGACACACTCAATATAGTCCTATCCTTCAAGGATTTATCATTAAAAAAAACCACACATCGTGATCATAAAAATTAAAATCAATTCGAATGGACGAGAGCCATAAGAATGTGAAGAGTTCGATTGGACTTTTATGAACATCCCAGTAGTTTTTAAAATTATTTAAGCCAAATTTACAATTGCAATTAAACTTTCGTAATTACTATATTTTTATTGTTTTAAGCAAGCAAAGTTTTTATTCATCAAAACTTGATGACGAGGAAGCCAAAAGTCTAAGAATATAGACAACAGAACTTGTATACATTACAAAAATAAGAAAGGATCGGTTCAAATGCGGTGTTCTGAGAATGATACCCAAATCCATAAATCAATTCTTACGAATTAAAAATTCACAGATCATGTGAACATTTCTAATTTCTAATCACTCCGTATTAGGAATGTACAATAAATTGTTTATTTGCAGAACATTTTTATGGGTACACAAGATTTATAATGTATATATATATTTGTTAAAATGTTTGACAAAATTATTATGTGCAGATATTGGGGTGATAAGTGGGCCGGTCCTATACACAAAGGACGACATGAAGACCACAGCAATCCAAGAAGAGATCTTGGTGGCTTCTCTCAATGTGTGCTCTCGAATCGTATCATTCGCCTTGCTCAACACTTCAAATTGGATCGGCAGGCAATACACTGATCATTACAATCAATTCCGACTCATTCAACGGCCACAACTAGCTAAAGTTCAAGCCGAATCCGCTGGCCACGATCAGCAGCCACTTCCGGAGCTTGTGCATCAACAACTTCTTCAAGGATCTTCGCTTTAGCTCCGCCTCAAATGACAGCCATTCCGAAAGATTTGGCGTGAAATAACGAGAAATTTTTACCATTAATTCCAGACCATATAATAATTTTTCGATAATTACACCACTGGATTTACTAATATATTGTTGTTTGGCAACAAATACCCCTCACTACTAGGGATGTCAATTTTTATCGCCCCGCCGGGGCCCCGCCCCGTTAATAACGTATATGGGAACACTTGTTATACCGTTGGGGCGGACATGGATATAAATTTTGTACCCGTCGAGGGTCACGGGGCGGGTAAGAGTTCAATATACATATCCTAAGGGCCCCGCCCCGCCCCGCCCCGCCCCGCCCCGCATATAACTATATTTAATATATATATATATATATATATATATATATATATATATATTAATAAGTTATTTTAGCGGCTTACTCAATTACCCATCTCTTATAATTCTAATTTGGGATGTAAACTTGGTATTAAATTTACTTTTGTTTTGGTTATGGTGGAAGTTGGAGCTTAGAACTTCTTGTGATTTGATTGTATTAAACTTATGGTGGAAGTTGGAGCTTAGAACTTCTTGTGATTTGGTTGTATTAAACCTTTATTTTTGTTTATTATATTCTCTAAATTATATTATGTGCATGCTATTTATTTATTTTTTATTAGGATACATAATTTTATTTATGTTGTGTCATTCCTAGACTTTGCACATTTAAATAGCAGGAGTTTAAGTTCCAAAAAGTGGGAGAAAAAAATTTGTTAGTGGGGCGGGCACGGGGGTACAGTATTTCCTAACGGGGCGGGATTGGATATGAAAATCCAACCCGTCGCGGGTCTCGGGGTGGGCATGGACTTGACAAAAATTAAAAGGGGCGGAGCGGGATTTAGAGAAACCCGCTCCAAACCCGCCCCGTTGCCATCCCTACTCACTACTTTTAATTACTTACAAGTAGTGAGGGGTATTTTTGGTTTTTTTGGAATAGACAAGAGTGAAAATAAACGTAGATTAAGCAAAAATTCTCATTTCTTGCTTAAATCTATTGAAAGAACAAAACGCATGTCTCAAACTATATATAGTTGATGAATACATCATATTACCCTCGGTGTATTTTGTTTTTTTTAATGCTACATCCATTGAATCTAGACATAGGCTTATTCTTATCACCCTACATTCATTGAATCTAGACATGTGTTCATTCGTCTCATACTTCATCCGTTGAATCTAGACTAATATTCTCCTTTACTGCATCCGATGAATCTAGACATTTTAAGAACAAGTTGCATTCCATTTGGATATTACAAGGAAGGAAAACCAAAGGAAAGGAAGAGAATGGAAAATGAAAAACGTCTACTAAAGAAAGAAAGGAAATTATCCTATTAAATTGTCATCTCTATTCAAATAATTAACAAAGAAAACGAAAATAAATGAGGGTAATAATTCCATATAAACTCAAGTGAACAAAAAGGAATAAAAATAATTATTTTATTATGTGAAAAAAATGAAGAGCAAAATATAAGTTGAATTGTTATGAAAAATATAAAAGATCATTAACTCAATTACCCATCTCTTTATTTCCTCCCACGTGTACAAATAGTGAACACAATATTCGAGGGGTTGATTGCGCATAACAAAAATATAAGTGGTCATTTGCTTGGTGGATAAAGTAACATTTTTTTATCTTTTCACACCTCTAAGTATTAACGTTATATTTTATTGTACATTAAAAAAAAAATAGTTTTTACTTTTATATCTAACTGTTAAGATTTAATTCATGTATAAATACTTTACACATGGTTGATCAATTGAATATTCTTATATATTTGGGTTAAGTGCAACCCCTCTTACTTGGTATCAGCATATAAAGGCTCACCATTTGAAAAATGTGTGCAAATTGTCCATTAATATTTATTAACCATCAATTTTGATTTTGATTTTGATTTTTTATTTTATTAAAAATCCCAAAATACACTTTTTGTGTTTCAGAAGAGAATTTTATTTTTTATTTTATCTTGATGGCATTTTAGGTATTATAGTCTTCAAATTGAGAAAATTTCTTTATTTATTCAATTTAGAAAATGCAAGATTTTCTTTTAACATCAGAGTGGTTTTGGCATATTTTGTATACAAGAGGGTTTTTTTTTTTTTTTTTTTTTCCTTACAGGAGGTTTATTTATTTTTTATTATTATTATTTTTACTTTACCCTACATCTTTTAGTCTTGCAAGAGTAAAATGTCATTTTATATGGGAATTAAAGGTGTGTGGATGGATTGTAGGGATGGCAACGGGGCGGGTTTGGAGTGGGTTTCCCTAAATCTCGCCCCGCCCCTTTTAATTTTTATCAAGTCCATACCCGCCCCGTTAGGAAATACTGTGCCCCCGTGTCCGCCCTGCTAACAAATTTTTTTCTCCCACTTTTTGAAACTTAAACTCCTGCTATTTAAATGTGCAAAGCCTAGGAATGGCACAACATAAATAAAATTATGTATCCCAACAAAAATAAAAAAGTAACATGCACATAAAATAATTCAGAGAACATAATAAACAAAAATAAAAGTTTAATACAACCAAATCACAAGAAGCTCTAAGCTCTGATTTCCACCATAACCAAAACAAAAGCAAATTTAATACCAAGTTTACATCACAAATTAGGATTGTAAGAGATGAGTAATTGGGTAAGCCGCTAAAATAAATTATTAATATTATATATATATTTATTAAATATAGTTATATGCGGGACGGGGCGGGGCCCATAAGATATGTATACTGAACCCTTACCTGCCCCATGACCATCGACGGGTACAAAATTTGTATTTATGTCCGCCCCAACGGTATAAAAAGTGTTCCCATATTCGTTATTAACGGGGCGGGACGGGACGGGACGGGACCCCGGCGGGGTGATAAAAATTGACATCCCTAATGGATTGTTCTTGATTGCAACATTTTTACAGTTAGGTGATGAATTACTTCAATAGGGGTTATTTGCAGATTTTAGATGGTTAAGAGGGGGTTTTTTTTTGACATTTTGTTATTTTCCTTTTTACAGTACTAGATTTGAATTTTTAAACTTAAAGACTAAAAAGGTTCATAAGACTTTGGAGTGTCACAATCACAAGTAATTTTTTTACAAACAATTTTTAATAATCATAGGTAGATAAACATAAATATAATATTTTTTTCTATAAAAAAATCATTATTAATAACCATAAAATAAGTACCATCCCAACTCACTATCCCCTGTTGTGTGCTGTCATATATATATATATATATATTTTGGTAAATAGACATTGTGTGCTGTAATGATGGCCACTTAATTATTTGTTTAATCATATATACTAAAAAAACATCAATATGTTTTGTCACCTCACCTTTTTTTTTTTTTGGAAAATAATTAAAACAACATAAAAATATTAATCTTGTAATCTACATGAAGAAATATGATATAAATACTATTATATGTGTTCTTCCCATTTTATACTACTATTCATATTATATGCTACACGTCCAGTAAATTTTAAAGTAAATTGACTAATTAAACATAATTTCTTAAAACTATTTTAGATTAATAAAGTCATATATTAATATTTGAAATAAGAATTGGAATATATAAACAAATAACGCCTCTCTTATTTGAATCTTCTTACCATACAATTACAAACTCATTAATTTATTAAATTTTTTTTTAAGTAAATAACAATGCTCGGAGAATCTTCGCATATTTAATAATAATATATATGCTTCTTAATACTCATTTATTGCAAATTTGTTAATACCAAATTTATTTATATTTTATTCTTATCATTTAGTACAATTAAATTTTTTTCTTTTTTCATTTTTTTATTTTCCATACGCACTATGAAGCCTTGTTTGTCTCTTTGTGCATCATCGAGAGCCTATTTTTGACCTCTTTTGAAAACCCTTTAACTTCTTCATTTCGAATTACTGTTATCGTAAAATATATGTATTTTTTGACTTCTTCAGAAGAGAGAGAAGAGGAGTCGAACTGTTAGGGTTTTCAGAATAATCGATGGGCGTGTTTGAAGATATTGGAGCTGAAATTAGGTATGATTTTGTTTTTTTGCACGCCCAAATATTTCTTCTCTTGGTTCTCTTTCTATCTGTATATATATATTTTTTTCACGGTGTTACATGTTTTGTTGCATAATCTTTATCGATTTCATGCGCTGTTGGTCCATATGACTACTCTATCGTTATTGGGTTTCTCTGAATTTTGTTGGGATTTTGAGTTTTTCGTGTTATTGTAAATCCTTTTTCTTTAACATGTCAAATAATTAAAAATTTTGATATATGAGAACTGGGTCTGTTTTAGGAATCCAAAATAGAGTTTTTAGTTTGTTTATGAACTTCCTGTGTTTTAATCTGCTCCACTTACTTGAAATTTGATAGGTGGGTTTGCTCAAAAGTGAAGAATTTTGGATTCGTAGTGTATTTCAAATATTACTTTATTTTGTTCCATTCTAAGGCCTAATAGGGATTGGTATTAGTTAGTAGCTGTTTGAATTAAACAGGGGATATATATATATATTTTTTCTTTTTTAAATAAAGTGGTGGGATTTTGTTTGGTTTAATATTTGAGATTTCTTGGGATATAACGTGATTTGAATGGAGCAATGTATGATGGATGACTATATGTTGGGCGACAGTTCGGATTTTGAAGTTGATGAGATAAGATGTGAAAATATAGCGGAGAAAGATGTCAGCGATGAAGAGATCGATCCGGAAGAATTGAAGAAGCGAATGTGGAAGGACCGTATCAAACTTCAGAGGATTAAGGACAGACAGAAGCTTGCAGCCCAGGAAGCCGCAGCAAAACAGAAGCCCAAGCAGGCCAAAGATCAGGCTCAGAGGAAGAAAATGTCAAGAGCTCAGGATGGGATATTAAAGTACATGTTGAAGCTTATGGAAGTGTGCAATGCCCGGGGGTTTGTGTATGGAATCATTCCCGAGAAGGGTAAGCCGGTTAGCGGGGCATCGGATAACATAAGGGCCTGGTGGAAAGAGAAGGTGAAGTTTGATAAGAATGGGCCAGCAGCCATTGCAAAGTATGAAGCAGAGTGTTTTGCCAAGAGCAGTGGAGATGGCTTTCCAAATGGGGCCTCCAAGAGCATTCTTCAGGACTTGCAGGATGCAACCCTAGGGTCTCTTTTGTCTTCTTTGATGCAACACTGTAATCCACCTCAGAGGAAGTATCCACTGGAGAAGGCTGTTCCCCCACCTTGGTGGCCTACTGGGAATGAAGAATGGTGGATAAAATTGGGGCTACCCAAAGGCCTGATTCCTCCATATAAGAAGCCACATGATTTGAAGAAGATGTGGAAAGTTGGGGTTTTAACAGCTGTGATTAAGCATATGTCACCTGATATTGCAAAGATTAGGAGGCTTGTCCGGCAATCAAAGTGCTTACAAGACAAGATGACTGCTAAGGAGAGCTCAATTTGGTTGGGGGTTTTGAGCCAAGAAGAATCTCTTATCCGGCAACCCAGCCATGACAATGGGGAATCTGGAGTAATTGAGGCACCTTCAATTGGTCGTGTTGAAAAGAGAAAACCTACTGTTAGTAGTGACAGTGAATATGACGTGGATGGCGTTGATGAGGGTGTGGGCTCTGTTTCATCTAAAGAAGACAGGAGAAATCAAGTAGTGGATGTGGAACTATCTGATAATCCTTATACTGATTGTGAGGGCCCTGTTTCATCTAAGGATGAGAGGAGAAATCAACCAATGGATGTGGAGTCATCAGGTCATCCTTGTAATATTACTCCCCATCCTATCCAGGATAAAGAGCAAGGGGAAGAGCAACGTAAGACAAAAAGGCCACGTGTGACATCCAGCTCTCCCGATCAACAGGCTGCACCATCTCTTAATGAACATCTTCATGATGAGCCGATAAACACTTTGCCTGACATAAACCACACTGATGTACATTTGGTTGGATACCAGATGCATGGCACCGAACAGGGAAACGTTACAGTTACTGCTACGAGGCCCCTGGAGAAAGATCTTGAGGATCAATTGCAGTTTCCAACACCTGATTTTAACCATTTTTACACCCTTCCTTCTTCCGACATGATACCCACACAGAATATATTAATGGGTAGCAGACAATTACTTTATCACGCGGTTCAAAATTCTGGGCTGCATCATGAAACTCAAGATTCTGGGTTGCATCATGGTCCTCAAAATTCTGGGTTGCATAATATATCTCAGAGTCCTGGTTTGCATTACAGACCTCCGAACTCTGAGTTACTTCATGGGCCTACTTATAACTTATATAATCCAGCTGTGGAATATGATCCCAATCACGGCGAACAGCTGTGCCAGATGACATTTAATGAATCCCATGTTAGCCTGGTGGATTCTGGAGTCCATGTGCCAGCACTGCATAAAAATCGAAATGATATTACAGGAGGAGATATGCACCACCATTGTGTAAAAGGCCCATTTCAGAATGATCAAGATAGACCTTTTGACACTAACTTTGGGTCTCCAATCAATAGCAGCCTTTCACTTGATTATGGAGCATTTAATGATCCATTATATCTTAGGTTGGATGACCCAAATGAATTCGATGACTTCTTGTCTAATGAAGATGAACTAATCGAATGCTTCGGGGCATAGATTCAAAGATTCATGTTTCAAAGGTTAGATTGTCAGTGATATTTCTTAACTGGCATTTTATTTTTTATTTTTGACTTTTTCTTATCTTTTGGAATTGGTTCAATATTTCTTATTATGGTGTAATTTTTTTGCAGATGCTGAAAAAATGCAGCAATTACTGTTCACATGTGTGAATAGGTTTTGGTCTCTCTTGGACTCCTCACCAGTGCTGTTATTATCGTCTGTGAATCTCAAGAGTGTAAGTTCATTTTTTTATCATTCAATGTAGTGCAAAATAATGAACACACATTGATTTTTTGAGATACACACAGTGTCTAACATTTGTACTGTTGGAGGCCCCTGAGTAGCTCCTGTAAATAATTAGTTTGTTTAATTGGCAATTGCTAAAGTAACAATATATTTTGCTTTAATGAAACTTAATAAAGTGCTCACTTTTATTCTTTTACCAATGTGTGGGTGTTTCATATTTGTAGCCTTGATGTTTTCTTCTTTTTAATTTAATTATGCTTCTGTTTTTGTTGAAATACGTATTATTTTTTTTTATAAATGTTTAACTAGTTGTGAAAATTAGTTTCTAAAAACTAAGTGCCTTTGATGGCATATTTCATAAGGAGGCCAAATCAGTGACTGCTCCGGTTGTGTTGTACCATGCATTGCGAACAAATTTTTAGGCATTTGTTATGACAATTAAGGGAAAGTTCCCCTCAATCAGTTGCTGACAAACCATCTCAGCTTCCTTCCTCAGCTTCGACTACCCTTATTCGAATCACGCCTAAAATCCTTCTGGATTTCACACTTCTTTGCTATCAAATCAAAATCATTATCCTCCCCACCTTACCTCCATTGGACATGGAACAATATGGGAGTGATCCTATCGGCAACAAGTTATCTTGTAACACTATTTTATTATAAAAGAAAAATAAAGGGCACATCATTACCATATCTAACCTATAATTTCATAAAATCTGATCTAATTTTCTAATCAGCCTCTATCACAATGAAATCACCACGAGCATCACCCGTGGGCTCAAACAAACTAGGCACCATAAATGGAAGAAGTGGCCTAAATCACCACATGTCTCTCCCTCTTTTTTGTCAAGATTCTGGGCATCTCATATTGGACGACCACATGTCATGCATAAAAAATAAGTCTTTCCTTATATCCTCTGCCCCTCCATAAAAACCTAATGGCTTATGCTTAAGATGGAAACCTTTATCAGGAGCATAGTTGTTAAAGGCTCAAGGCGCACTAAGGCACCAAGGTCTCCTGGAGCCTGAGGCGCAAGGCGAGGTGTGGGCCTGACTGGAGTGAGGTGCAAGTTGAAAATATATTACATTTGTAGCCAACAACGAAAGCTAGCAGCAATATAAAGCTTACAAATACAATAAGCACTATGGCCAAGCAGCAATACAAACTCTTAAGTTCCTAGCGAAATATCCAGAAGCAATACAAGCAACCCAGCCAAGGCTGCCAAGCAAACCAAGTACAATAAGCAGCCACCATTTTTGGAGAAAATAATAAATCTTAAACCAAATACAGTAAGCGAAGTAGCAAACCAAACCCTTAAGTTGAATAGTTAATAATCAGCCACCTTTTCTGGATAAAATAATAAATCAGAAACCAAATACAGTAATCAGAATTGCAAACCAAATGCTTAACTTCAATAGTTAACATACTAACATAAAATAAAAAAATAAACAAGAAAATGAAAAGAAAAAAAAAAAGACAGAGAAACAGATTTTGAAGAAGAAGAAGAGAGCAGCTGCCAAGGGAAGAGGAGAGGGGAAAAAGAAGAAGAAGCAGAAGTGCAGAACAGATTCTGCTGAAGTAGAACTGACTGATTTGGGTTGGGAATTGGTATAATCGACTTTTACTTTATTTTTATAATTCCTATTATAGAACTTTCACTGTTATAGAATTTTACTGATTGTAAACTTTCACTTTTATAGAATTTTACTGATAGTCAACTTTCATTTTTATAGAATTTCACTGTTAGTAAACTTTCTTTGTTAGAGAATCACTGTTAGTAAACTTCCACTGTTATAGAATTTCATTGTTAGTAAACTTCCACTGTTACAAAATTTCATTGTTAGTAAACTAGTAAACTTCCACTTTTATACAATTTCATTGTTAGTAAACTTCCACTTCTATACAATTTGACTGCTAGGAGATTATTACATACAAAAACCAAACAAGCAAGTTGGGAAATTAAAAAACAAATGACTCTTCAATCAGGCGCGCCTTTGTTGCGCCTGGGCTTGGTGCGCCTGCAACAAAGGCACTCACCTTATTGAAATCGACTGCCCAGGTGCAAAAGGTGCGCCTTGATGCACCTCGCGCCTTTAACAACTATGATATAGAGGGAATTTGGTAGCTCCAAAACCCCAAGCACAGTAGACACTACCCATGCTTTTGCAACTGAGTCGTGATGTGATCCTTTCAACCTACCTCATGATCCATTCTGCTGAACAAAGGCCTTCAGAAGCCACTGTCAAGCAAAGACCGTTTGCTGATGAGCTAACGAGGACAACATTGCTGATGAGCTAACGCTGACTCCGCTAAAAAGACACCCCAGCTCAATGGCCTACTCATGTCAAACAGGCTTTATGATTGAAACTTTCTTCAATCTTATTTACCATTAGAAATTGTAAGTTGCGCGGTGCGAAAGCATTCTGATAATTCAGTTGGAAACAGTGTACTAATGACCTAGAGGGGGCTAAATAGGTCAACTTGCTTGATTTTGGTGATTGATTTATTACCACAATAGTTAACAATTAAACATCCACAATCACAATGTAAAAGGATTTTTAGTGTGGAAACCCTTGAGGGAGAGAACCATGTGGCGAAACCAATCCACTATCTCAAAGCAAAGTTACAAACTCTTGCTTGGGCTCACACTCACACTCACACTCACACTCACACTCACACTCACACCCACTCCATTCTTACCAAGAACTAGTTGTTGAACGCCTTTGGCTTTGCGAATCCTTGTCCAAACGCTCTCGACTTTAGGCTTATTCCTCAATCCTTTTAGCCAGGTTGCTGGAAGAACACGAATGCTCCATGAACGCTATGTCCCTTCGTAGTGGTTGATTCCCCTTCCTTTCAATGATATGAAGAATTGTGAAAGAATTTTGCTGCTCTGATTGAACGGAGTTAATCAATGTAGACTCTGAAAATCCTTTCGATCATATGAAGAACGTCACCCTAAATCACTCGTGTTTAAGTATGTGCTGTCATGAAGAAATAAATAATGGAACATATTTTTCTCAAAATCTCTCTTAAAGCTCCAACAATGGTGTCAAAGATGATTCTATGTTTTTTTTTCTCAAAATAATATTAGGGCTGAAGTTTAGAGAGGTATTTATAAAGTTTTAAAATCGTACCAGGACTTCTCAAGGAGGTTGGTTCAAAAAGGAAACTTAAAAGTTACCAAACTGAAATCCCGCAACATGTCAGGAAAGCGCGTCCAGTCGAACTTGCCCAGATTGTTACACAATGGGGATTTGGACAAGTGCGACCAGTTGGACTTGGGCTGATTGCACTTTTGAGTTTGAAATCTGTACTGTCCAAGTGCGACCGATGGGAAATAGTTGGACCTGTCGGAATTGTCCGGACTCCAGATTGCAATATTTTAAATCAAAAACCCAATTGCAATCCTATCATACCTAAATATAAAGTGTCCTCACTCACATACCTGTTCTAAGTGATGTTTCATCCAATCCGACGGTACAAGACACTTGCAATTCAGTTCAGATGATCAAGGATAAAACAAAAATTACAACTCGATCGACAAGTTTTGACACCGAAATTTGCCAACTCAAAAACCTATATCTCACAGAAATGAATCCCTCAACCACTAACGACATGGGTAAGAAATCTTAAATATACTAGCAGTTCCTCTTATTACCACATCTTCGAGATGGTTCAACTGGGGGATTACATGCTCTACTATGCAAGTATAGCAGCACTAGCTATGCTACATTAAAGATTTTTCCGGAGAAATCTCTCAAACAACCACCTGCAACTTCCATTTTTGTTCACTCTGTTACTAAGAACTGCAATAGTGTTAAAGCAGTCATGTTATAATTTTATGTTGCATCAAACATAGATCAGGGTATATGGTGCTACCATGTAATAAGTAGAAGATTACACCCTAAATTAATAATAAATACAAATGTATAAAAGTAAAATCATAGTTGTAAATAACATAGACAAGTATTCCTTTATATGCTACTGTTTTTTTTTTTTTTTTCTTTGTATTGTGATTCCCTATGAAGAAGTATCTCAAAATTTTGTAAATGAGACTGTCATATACAAAATTTATTTTATATATAGTATAAAAGCACAATTTTAAGTGTGATGCATGTATATTCACAAGCATATGTTCCCTCTTGGGAGTGAACCCCTCTTCGGCGCCTTTTGACGAAACCTTACTTATCAATATATATATATATATTCACAATTATATTTTATCTTTTAATTTGTGAATCGTAGCAAAGAACTGCATCAAGATATTGTCTTGAAAATTAAAATATTTCTCCCTCCAACATATAGGGAAAGGGTGTTTATAAGAGGATGATGGGGGGAATCAAACAAAGTAAAAAATATGAAGAGGTGTGGGATATAATGATTAGTATGTGGAAGCAGTGGGAGCAAGAGTAAATCTGTCTGAAAGGCTCCTGTGAACAATCCCTAAATCTATGTCTCATTAATTATTTTTTCTTTCTGTGAATGTGGTCATCTATCTCGAACACCCATCTCTGCCCTGCACTCGAACAGTCTTTCCGCATTCGATCTTCTGACCAAATCCACGACCTTGTTACTGCCCCTCTTTACTTTCCTCCAAGATTTCGGACACCACCCTCACCCTATATATATATTTGCCCTCCTTTTTTTTCCCTATCTAACAACATCAGCCCTCAATATATTTAAAAATTATAGATATTAGAGATCCTTTGTGTCAAACTTAGACCTCGTGCATTAATTTGAGGATTGCTATATACGCGCAAAATAGAGCAGACAGGTTTTACAGCGTCCCTTGCACAAGGATTTTGTTGGATCTTGCCAAAGATCATCTTTTCAAGGGCTGATAGCCCCATTGGAGATGAGAATCTTTCTTTACACAAATACAGTGTGTGTGTGTGTGTGTACATGTATATATATATATATATATATATATATATATATATATAAATGATAGTATTATAAACATATATATTGTTCTGTAAATATACTTATATGCATTGTATACTTTGTTCTAGCCGACCTTCAATTGTCGGGAAAAGGACTTTGTTGTGTTGTTGAGTTATATTTAATTTTGTTATTATACATCTAATTTGATTAATTAGTTGACAACATTTATTTTAGCAACATTAATCGGTAAGTGTAGTGAACTTATGGACGTATTGAAAAGGAGGAACATAGTTTGTTTACAAGAAGCTAAAC